TGAAACGCGAGCGAAATGAAACTTCGAACTATCTTCCTTGTTTATCATTAGCCGGGTTGTCCATCGACCCGCATTCTATCCGGCCGTTTCGTCGCGTTTCCAATCGCGTTCCCGTCCAAACGGAGGGTCCGATGCGGACAGAGGCATTCAACGGACGCGTTTCGGGCATTGATGCCGAACTTAGAAATTGCGTTCGAGTCGAAGTCGATTTTTTGATCCCGTCGTTGATTTACGAGCAACGTAGATGCGACAAAAATGGAGCGTATTCAACGACACCGGGCGAGAGATTTATTCGCGCAGCGTGCTCGTTCCAAAGTCGCGTTTTATTGACCGAATTGATTTTTCGCCTCCAGCGTTCGATGGATTTTCGTTGTTCGGTCTCGGGATTGCGACGAGAAGAAATTTGTTCGCGTTAAAGCGGCGAGAATCGCTTCATCGGGATGGAGAAAACGACGAGTTATGGAAATCCGGTAACGCTTCGATGAAACGAAAGAAACGCACGCGCGTTACGCGATGTAACGTTGCTCGATTCGTCTTCGCGTATCTTTTCGAAACGGAAACGGAGATGCGTATAGTCAGTTATTGACCGTGGAATAAGTTTGGACGCTATCGATCGAAGAGAGCGGTGACAGCGGACGTATCGAGAGTCCGAATCGGCGAACGCGCAAGTAGCAAAGTCGATATCGCGTCAGCCTTCCCGACCCTTCGAGTTTCCACGAAATCGTAGCCGTTTTCGGACGATCTTTGCGTTTCGCGCCATGGTTCGGTGCTCGGTGGATCGACTAATTCGACCGTGGAGACATTACGGCTCCTCGACGTCGCTTCGAGTGGCCGAGAAATGACGCGAATCGTCGGACCGTGTTTGATTCGGATCGATAGACTTAAAACGAGCACCTAGAATCGGTTCCACGGTGACCCTATGAATAAAAGAACAGGGATTGCTCGGCGGTGTGCGTTAACGCGAAAACTACCTATGGAGATTCAAGAGTGTCGAAATTTACCTTTTCCCTTCGGTCTTCTTTCTTTCCTCCGGTGTGTATACGCTCTGTCGTGCGGGTATATCGAAAAGGTAACGACAAAAAAGGGCGCCACTGTGACGGGCAAGGTTGCTCGGCAACTAAGACCGACGACGAGACACAACACACGGGAGCATACGCATTCTAGGTACGTGTACCAGTTATCCGCCATTTTCGATGCATTAGTAACAAGGAATAATTGCGTACTCTCTCGACGTAGAATCGATTCGATCGTAATAGTTACTGTTCGTCACACGCGTCCGAGTTCTCGATAGTTTACTTCGAAATCGGCTCCCTCCGTGTCTTTATGCATCGCTGCCGATGAGTCACGCGGCGCGTTTTCCGAACTCGTAATTGTCGTCTTCTTCGCGGTGTATTCACCCCCTTGCAGGTCTATAGCTTACACTTTCCAATAAAATTAGTCCAAACTTTAAAGCGATAGAGATAACTTTATACCTTAACCTCCTCGCGGCTACGAATCACTCGACTGTCTCGCGAAGCGCGAAGAACGCGTTTACCTTCCCTTTCTTCGTCGATGCCATCGCCTTCGAGCCGACGAGGAAACTGCTCGGCGGTAAATAAACACGAAGACGAGATCGAAGCAAGTTCGAACGCGCCCAAACGGAACAACACGGACACTGGTCTAGCAACAGATCCGACGAGACACAGACCACTGCCTTCTCGAAATGTCTCCTCCCCTTGCCGAATCGACAAAAGGCTCGGGACAAACGAAGAACGACAAGGGTACGTTTGATTCTTTACGTAAAAAGCTCTCATTGGTCGGAAACGTCTCGACGATGCTCCTTGTCGCAGTCGACTCTGGCGTTACGAGATGTTCCTTCGTTTTATACTACGAGACGAGGTTCGAGGTACGTTTAGTTACGGGTAATTGGACGAAAGAAGAAAGAGAGCGCCGACGACGATGGAAGAGGAGACATGCGAAGAGGACGAACGAAAAACTTACGAATTTACGTTGGCTCGCGTTAAATAAGCGCGTGAAGAGAACGGCATAACGAGAAAATGTTATCCGCCAACTTTTGCGCGAGAACTGCGCCAAGTATCTGCGTAACGCGATTGCTGACCGTCGACCACGCTTGTCGTCGAGGAAGTTACGAGCAGTGAAACACGGAGGCTTGCACGTAGTCGCTACCTGGGAGTTACACGGGACCGGATTCCCCGCGGAAAATTACGTCTTTCGTCGTTGCATTTAAGCTTGCGTTGCACACCGTGCTCGTAACCACCGCGCGCTTGTCTCAAGCACGGACCGAGAGTTCTTGAAACGCTGTGCAAACGACGTCGGCTCAGCGCCATCCACGTTTCACAGATTTTCTAACGAGTTTCCAACCATATCCTCGATGGAACGATGTCGCGGGTACTTGGCGGACGAGAACCTAACCATGGTCGCGATCGAGAGGACGCGTTTTTCCCACCGTTCACCGACTCCAATTCGAATCCACGAATTTTTCTCCGCCGTCCCTTGCCAAGAAGACATCGAATGCGTCTGGTTTATTATCCTCGCCGTTTCTATTACGTCTTATTTGCCAGAAACATTCCCTTCCGGCGAACGAGCACCGTGATAACTTGGTCGCAACCGAAGCGGAAAGCGTTGCCCGTGAACATAACCGAGTAATTTGCGTTGCCTCTATTTCGCACGTCTGAGGCATTACTAACCCCGAATACGTGCTTACATTTCAGCGTCCCGTTACTTAATCTTCCTCGATGCGCCCGAGATGACAATTGTCACTTATCGACAGGAATGAATCGCGCGAAACTTAAACGACGCTGCGAACGATCGGTCGTAAAACGCGGCACTACTTCGTCCAACGATTTCATCCGACGTACTGGAATTATGAGAAAGTGTCCGAACGGGGAGACACGTCGATGACCGAATTATTGGAATCTATCGACGCACGAGTAAACAGGAATCGAAGGAATGCCATTTAGACCCGAACGAATAGACAGGAGAGTTTGTCTTCCGTTGGTATCGCGTGGACGCGAGATCGTCGGTCGTGGAAACCGTTTCGAGCAGCGATAAATCAAGTAGGAGGAGCGACGAAGGTTGGAGCCGGTTAACCTTCGCGTCCGTTTCCTCGGAGTCGCGCTGGAAAACTCGCGTTTTTGGAGCGACTGAGTCGATAAGGCAACGTCAAAACGCGCTCTCGGTTTCCTACTTGCCAACGTTCTTTTTTCGGAGAAAGATATTATCGGGGGCGAAACGAAAGCACGTGGACGAAGAGAAACGCAGGCCGTTGATCGATACGTTGATGGCCGAGGATCGATCGTAAAGAAAGAAACGGAGAGAAGCGCGTCCGCGTGGAAGATTCGGCGACTGGACTGACGGAGTTGCGAGCAGTCGAGTGGAGAAAAGGGAAAATTTTGGCGGATCGATGGACGGTCATCGATGACGGACCACGACGCGTCTCGCGACGCGACGGAGCGAGAGATCGCGAGCGAAAGGGAATTTGGGAAAAGGCGAACGAGAGACAGGGAACGAGCACTCGTTCGGCCCCGTTGCGCTTTCCTCCCAAGCGACGACGAAGCCACCCTGTATCGACCCAGCAACGCCCACCCAAACAGCAACCCCCACCATAGATGACCCTGTCTGCTGCCGCTCGCCGCCACCGAGCGTCCTCCAAAAATTTCTCTACGCGATGCATCGCGTCCTTTCTTACTCTTCTCGTCTCTTCCCTTCTCTCCGCGCCTCTCTTTCTTTCCGCCCCTTCCGCTTTCGCCGTCCCTCGCTCGACCCGAATTTGATACACCGCGGACGAGAGTCGGATAGTTACCGCGCGCATCCGCGCTTCCCACGTCTCGCGGAATTTTTACCGCTCCGGAATGATCGATGGTCGCTCGTTACGACGTCGAACGAGTCGAAAGGACTTTCAGCGTCCGCGTGCGATTTCGTCCGGCTCGAAACGCGCTTTCGCGTTCGAATTCGGCGTCCGCGCGTATTCGTTGCGCGAAGAATGCGGACAGGAACGCGTGGTCGATGCTTATCGTCGCCTCGATCAAATCCGACGAGGATGGTTTACCTTAACGAGATGCAGAACGCGACCAACCGACATCCTTCCTTTAGAAGGCAACCCCGTTTCCTTCGTAATCGATCATCGTGGCACGTTCCATTCGCGTTCGATGTAACCGCGTTCGAAGCGCGAATAATAACGCGGAAAAACGTGGAATCTCTTGTCAAAAGCGCAGGGGTAAATGGAGGATGGGTGAGTCGAAACGCTAGGGTTTAACTCGGCAGAAGCTTTCGACGCGACAAGGATGGGACCTTGGAGGCTTTTCGGGTCTCGCGTGTTACCGCGATGATATCGACGATAACGTTGAAAACGATATCAAAGTTCATCCGCGTATTCTGACGCCTCGACTCGCGCTATTCTTCCGTGCCGATACAAAAAGCATTTTGATCTTTTAATCGCATTCGTCATTAAGGATCCCGGAATGCAGCGTTTCCGAACGCGTTAGTCGATTAATCGCTCGCGATGCATTCCGGTATCTCGTTCGGAGCGTATGCGGATCCCGCGGTAACCGACGTGTCCTCGAGAGCCTGGTTCACCTCTGTTCTCGTTTTTCGCGCTTGACCGTGTTAGAAAAATTACCGTTTTTAACCCGCACCTCCTCCTGCCCCACTTCCTCGTCCTCCTCCACCACCTTTTCGACTAGTCTTTGTTCTTTCGACAACCCAGAGACAACTGTTTGCAGCTCGTTCAACGAACAGGAAAACGAACTGGAATCATTTTTCTTTCCCTTTTTCTCCCTTTTTCTCCTTTTTTCTCGACTAGCGCAGATTCGTCTTGCCGTTAATTAGCCCCTGACTTGCTAGGCAGGCGAGGATATCTCGATCACCGACCGTACGGCGTACCGAGATTAGAGATCGTCTAGAGAATTTACCAGAGTGATACCTTTGAAATTTTGCGCTCCACTTTATTCCAAGCACGAATAAATCCGAGTTACGGATCTCGCTTTCATCGCGGGATGAGTTTCAGTCGCGCCCGAATCGCGATTATAACGATGAAGATAATTCTAGTGAAATATGCGAGGATACGGCGGATAATACTTAAATTTTAGGAGAAACGTTTGGAGAAAAATGGGAGCTCTGTACGCGTTTAATTCGAGTCGGTCACGCTTCCGCTGAAAGACAGAGCAACGTTCACGACGTTTCGGGAAGTTTCGCAAATACCTTTTATTAAATCCGTTTCCTTACACTACGAATACATTTACGGTCCGTGGCTTACGCTTTACCTCGCGTGTTGGCTCACGCGTTGGCTCACGCGTCGCCCTGCGAAAAAATCGAAGTTGCGCCAGGCGTGTCGCGCGGAGGAGACCAAGTACACCGCAAATACCGCGATCCGATTATCGCTAACGAATCGTTAAGCCGCGAGTCTTCGTCGCTGAACAATCGTGAGACAATTTTCGAGATTTCCTTGGGAACGCAATTGCTTCGAATCGATTGCGAAAATATACGGTTCGCGAATGATCTAATTGAAATCGGTCGCACGCGTAACACTAGGAGGCAGCGGCGGCGGCCTACGTGTCTCTCCGCTCCGCTCCGTTCCGCGTCGATACTCACGAGACCCGTCCTCACTAGTGGGAGGCAAGGTCGGCGAGACACCGTTCGGAGGTGTGCGTTTGCGGCTGCTCAACCAGTGGTATCGCGGTGAAAATCGGCACATTCCATCCGTGGGAAGATCTAACCGAAGAAACGTTAGCACCGAAGTCGTAACGATCGCGCGAGAAAGATCGCGGTCGATCGGTTCCATAAGCGGAAGGCGTTGAAATTTACAGATGTATCGCAACATCGCACCGCTCCGGCGATCTATTCCGGCGTAACGCGTTACCATATCGAATGCTCGTTAAATCGCTTCCGGAGGAAGCGGAGAAATTCAGCGTGTCGGTGTTTCGCGGTCGGGGAAATTCGGTTTCGCGCGGTTTTCCTCTTTTCCGGGCGACCTTGGTGTTCGGAGAGGAAGGGACTAAACGCTGGCGCGCGCTAAATGACCGGGAGTCGCAACAGCGGTGGTCGGTGGCGTGGTGGTGGTGGTAGTCGGCCTCGGCACGGGGGAACGTTTCATCGGAAGCCCTCTTCCTCCCTGGCTGCTTTTCCCCCAAGGCCACTGCAGAGTGCGGATCAAGGTGTTTCGGAAGTCTTCCGAGAACAGGTAGTAGATGTAGAAGGTGATGGAGTAATTGATTATCTCCAGCAAATTGGCCAGGGCGCGAAACACCTACAAGACGACATGGCCGTAAAAACGATCGGTTCGCTCGGCGGAAAATCATGTTTCATCGAGTCAGGGCACATACGTTGGAACCATTACTATATATACCTGATAAGGATAGTTACTGAGATTGCTCTCTCGCAGAGTGACGTTCAGAATTACCATGGGGCTAACGCAGACGAGGAACAGGATGCTGGTACTGCCTAATAGGAGCACGAGTCTTCTCTCTTCCGCGAACGTTCTCGGATCCTCGTCGTTGCTCGCGGTTCTGGACAACGTCATCCGCCGACGTCGTTCGCAGGACCGTCTATAGACTATCATTATTCGTAGATTGAAGCCAGCCAAGAGGATCGTTGGTGCTACCTTGAAAACGATCTCCAGGACTACCTTGTACACCTACGCGAGAAAGTCGATCAGCGAAACGGGAATGTCGCGGTCGCGGCTTCAAAAGTCTCGATTACCTGATAAAACATCGAGTCGAGATAGGACTGATTCTCTCTCTTCTGATAAATAACTGGGCCACCTGCTGTCAGCAGGCAGGTCGTAATTTCTCCCCGAAACACGCTCGGCAGGTAAACCAGAAACGTGGCGATGGGGATCAGCACCACCGTCAAGTGTGGAGGACCGCAGAATGGTCGAGTGTGCTGGCCAGGTCTGCAAACGCTAACGTAACGCTCCACGGTCAGTGCTAGCAGCATCATCACTCCAACCCCTGAAACAATGGCCGGTTCTTAATGTCTCCTACGATCATTTTTTTTCACGCTTACCATTCAGGGGTATCCGCGAACCGATTGGTTCTACCAAACTTTTCTCAACGAGAACGAGTATAGCGGCGCATAGCGTGGTAATCGAAAGAAGAGAGGGAAACGTGAATAGGGAAAAGTTGGGTTGTTGGAGGAGAAGCGTTGAAAAAAATTCTTACCTAAACAACCGTTTCCCAAGAAAAGCTCGAGATGAGCATGATAGAAGGCTTGCGTCCAATTGCTCCATCGACCTGTCTCTTTGTGAATAAGAACCCTCAGTGCGAAGGGGATGCAGAAAAAAATAGCGAGGAGTGCCGCCGCCGAGTAACCTGTAACAACGAGATAACAAAGCTCGGTTTTATGCAGGAAATAATGCCGGATGTCTTGTCGCGCGATTCGCTCGAATTTACATAGCATTTTATACCATGTCGGATTTTTCCCGCGCGTAACGGCTATTTAAAAACTTTGCTCATTTTCCACGGTATCTCGATATCCGTACATTTAAGAAAACAAACTTTTTTCATTCTCTTTCGCAGCCGTGTACAAACAATTAAAACCCGCGGGTAACTACTACGATACGGTATCGTTGAGTTGCACGATCTCGATTAAACTACGAGAGAGAGATAAACCTGACCATCGTTAAGGTGGCAAAAAAATTAAATTAAATTGGTGGAAATTAAAATTTTTTAATTTTATTTTTCGCACGTATCATTTACACGCTTGTTATTCTTGATTAATGATCCCTGTTTAATCTTCTCCTCTTGTACGTATATTTTCAGTGTTAGAAGATACTATATGAGAGGTACCTAGGCTAGGTTTACAACACCTAACTTGAAACAAAAAATAGAGATCCTCGTGTAAAAAACGAGAGGCGTGATATTGCAATTGTCATTGTCTTTGCTATAGGTTTCATTTACATTTTATTTCTTATTTTATAAGTAGGTTTAGTTTCAATTCCAATCTCTGCTGTCATAATCTTATACTATGCCGAATCGGTAATGTCGGAAATGACACGAATATGGTAAGAGGTCTTACGAGACCCCGAGACGTGAATCATAAAAATTCATTGCGCAATATGTTTATATTATATCTCGTGTTTATATTAGATCTTATTCTTTCGTTGCATTATAAATTGCATTATGGCTGCTTTCCACCGAAGGTTATAATGTAACGAATAAACAGAATTACTGCGTCCAAAGCAAGTCGCGCGAGCGTGTAAATTATTACGAGATTTATACTATCGAAATTACGATCTTGGAAATAAATTAAAAAAATTTTTGCTTTTCCGGTATTTTTTTCTTATTTTTTACCACCGATCGCGTCGTGGTTTTATTCTATTCTAAATCGGTAATGTCGGAAATGACACGAATTTTTTTAAATTTGTTACTATAATGCATTATGCGCATATTTTGATACATCTTCTTTTATATTTTGCAAATATTTATTTGTCGATAAATAAATTTCTCGTAACTTTTGGATGATCAGTGAAGATTATCTACTTTGCTCAAAGTCGGTAACATATTAATCCTTTATACCGATAAAAAGGATAGTTTCCTTCTATGAACTCGACAAAGAAGAATCGCGTTCAATGTTTTCAATTCGTCGCAAGATGATACGTCAATAATTAATTGGCACGAAAATATTTTTTCGTACCAAGTACTGTACCAAGCATAAATACCGAGTATGAGGGTATACTACACTGAGACTATTTGCAACGTTATACGCTGACAGATAAAGGAATACTTTTAATTCGCGATAACAGAGCTGCTCGAAAGGGAGATCCGATTCTCGATATCCTCTCGTCCTTTAAATCGATCCGCGTCGTGAAAACGAAACGTGACTAAGTCCATCGGCCTTGGCTACAAGTGTCACATCGAATTACTCGTAAAAGTTTTATCTCGAAGTCGTTGCCGTCTCCGTTAAGACGGAATTACGCGTTACCTTTAAATTACGACGACTACCTAGCCGTCATCGGCCATTTCTATCCGAATTACGTCCTTTGTAATGCTGCCACGATTCAATTGACTGGCTGCTCTTCCTCCATGGATTTTCCTCTTTATTTTTCCAACGACATATATGCAAAGAGAATTCTGAACCTTCTTCCATTTAATTCGATCGAATATCATTCGTCTCGACTATTCTCGTAGTCGAACTAGTTATCGAACAGCATCTTAACCCGTTATTTTTCCTAATGGAAAAGGAACTGTTGAACTCCTCGCGCATAGTCTGCGAAGAGAAAACGAACGCGCTTCAATTTTATGGATCAATTCGCGTTTGAAATGACGGTCGACAAATAGATAAAAGTGTTATTTATAGTTCGTTATCGTAGGTAGTTACTACTCCAAGCACCGTGGGAACCTATATACGAATGCGAACTTCAAAGGACGATCCCGATAAATTGTTAATAACAATTTAGCTAATGCTACCGACATCGTATACCGGGGACAGCGTAACCTATTTTAGCGGTGGTTATGGTTTCGAGGGTCTTCTTACTGGTATAGCTTTCACAGGCAAAGAGACGAAGAAGGGTTCTCATTTCTCGATTTTGAAACGCTACGCCCTAGAAGAGGTCACGTCCGTCCCTGAACTTTGCTGTTTCACGACGTTTAATTCTGTTTGCGATACGGCGCATCGTTAAAATACACGGAATTACGATAGAAATGGAGTAAAAATACTTTGATAGAATTCACCAGCAGCTGCTGTTTTCCCCATTTCTCATTTGCTTCGTGATCATTGGCAGGGATGAATATAGCACTCGCAAAGCACGCAAAACGGACACGCCGCTTAACGATCAGTATCGCGACTTAATGGATATCGGTGTACGAAGGATGACGATAAAGCAGTCTCCCTCAAGGATACACGGTTTTACAGGAGTCCTTGCAGGCTACTCTCGATTGGAAGGTCCGCTTTAACGCGTCCGGACAAACGCGTTTCTAACGAAGAAGAATCTGTGGCGAGGACGCAGCAGCGTCGCTCCACCTTCGCAAATCCCTTCGTCTCGACGGGTTTAATGGGACCAGATATAGAGTTTAAGAAAGATAAGAAAGAACGTCCAATTTTTGAGAATTTTCTCGAAGAATTCCGTGAATGGACGATTCGGCTTTATCGCTTCGAAAAGAAGCGAGAAGAAGGTTAGGCTTTGTTCGTCGCGTCGAGGAAAATGTCGTTCTTTTTTGTGGCAACTCGCTGGTACTTTACACCAATGGCTTCCACTGCGTCAAGGGAACGCAAGTTTTAGGAATCGCGCTAGCTCGGTCGTTTTTCTCGCCATTTCGGTTAATTTATCATAGTATACCTTTCGCTTCGCAAGTCCATGGCAAAATCAAAATACTTCGTTAAACGATTTAACGGTGTACCGTGTATCACTCGTAGGAAGGTATCGCGAGAGTAAGCAACGTTATGCGAACGAATTCCGCTCGCCGCGAACGCGGATACGCGTATTTGAAGGTTTCGCAACAAAGAAACGACACTCGTAAATTCCCGAGGTACTAAGGAAAATTATTCGCGAAACTCGGTGAATCGAATTCGAGACAAGTTTCCGGTCTTTTACAGCGTCCAACGCGCCGTAACGTTTCGAGTCGACAACTTTCGACGCTTCGGCCTGGTTCTCGCTGAAAAACCTATTTCTCGAATTCAATGGGATAGCGATGACGGCGAAAGAAGGATATTCCAGGACGGTGAAGCGACGAGGAACCGTTTAATCTCGGAACATTAGCCGAAAATGATTTTACGCGCGATTCCTGTATCGAGAATCGCAGTCGCGAGACTTTCTCGAGCAAAGGAGATTATCGAACACGCCTCATATGGCACGCTCGAACTCAAGTCCGAGATATCAGTGTCTATCGGTTCCGTAGACTGCTACCGATGAATCACGGTTCTCGCTGGCGCAAACGAGAGACGCGTAATCGGCACGCGGGACGCAATCGTTATCTGCACGAGTCTGCTATGTAACTCTTCTATCGCGAGCTGGAAGAAACTGACCCCAGAGATTTACGCGGTCTTCGAGCTACCGATTAGACTTTATTGACATTACGCGCAACCAACGATAGAAGATGCCTCGATCTCTCTTCGATTTCGCGACTCGTGGAAAGAGCTGATCTAGGAATAGGCAGGCAATGCGTGGCAACTCGAGAACGATCAGCCGAAGAGTCACGATGCTAAGCCGCTTCGGCGTCGATATTACGGATGTTACGTCGATTTGACGAGTTCGAACCCGATGACAAACGGACTTTCGATCTATTCGGAGACGAAGGATAAGCTGCGGATAGCGCCTCTTCTCGGAAAGATATATTCGCCCTATTCCCTGAATCTAACGCGCGAGGGGTTGGCGAGATTACGGGGTTGCGGCGAGCGTGCGTGCGCCATGGCGCAGATCCCATCTTGACTGTGCACTTTTTCGGGAATTAACGCAACCGACGCGAGCATGCGTGCGTCAGCAAAAGCCAGACCAGTTAGCCACGGACGCGATAAAGCCTCGGCCTTTCTGGAATGCGACGAGTCGCGCGCGGAAATTAATCGCCGCGCGTAATCCTGGCCAAGTAACGTCTCTGCGCGGTTACGTATATCGCGAAGAACCCTCGGCACTCCGCGAACTAGTCGTTATGCGATAAGAATTCCGACAATGCCGAGAATCTTTCCTCGTGCGTGCTGATCCCCGCCTGTCGCTCGCCACTCATTCGTTCGACCGGCTGTCTCGCGCGCCACGAGTGATCGTTTAATCGCGAGAAAACGACAGCCCCGACTCCTTTTTCCGACTTGATCTCGCAGAAAATTAACCTTCGCTGCTGGATTTGCATAAGGAACTCGTTACATGTCTTCTTCCTTATCCGCTTATCCGTTATATAGAAGAAAACGTGGTCTACAGCGACGTCGGCTCGAAGAGTTAGAGTCGTAGCTCGAATCGCGCGATTCGATCAACCTTCTTTGCTCCGGCGTTCAGAAGTTGGCCAAAAATCTCGTTTCGCTAATCGGTTTCGATTGATTCGATTGAGCGTCGAAAGAGAAGACAAGGGTGGAAAAGAGGGAGGTCAGGTGGAAGGTGAAAGACAAAGAAGCTTCCGAGTTCCGATTGACCGGTCTTACGAACTCGAGGACGAAGTTTCTCACGGCGGGAAGCGGGTTATATGAGAGAGGTAGGGAACAGGAAGAATAGATCGCGAGGATGTTTCCCGGGAAATAGAACCGAGACGACTAGACTCGACGCGCGTATATAGAGCGTTAGAAAGGATACTTTGAACATCCGTTGACTTCGTCGAGGAACAGAAGCAGCGATGAAGAAGGAGAGAATTCCTTCGGCGTTTGCCATCGGCGTCTAATTGTGAGATTTCGACGGAAATCGAGAGAGCGAGGTATACACCGAAAGTCGCGTCTTTCTTTACGATTCGTTTCGCTAATTTCATTCGGGTTCCAGAGGAAATACGCGATACAGAGGACGGAGTTCGTAACGAACCGTGAACCGGTAGCCTGGATTTTGGTTTTACATCTTTGAGGCGCGTCGAATTTGCTGGAAGTGATCGTATCGAGGAGGACACGGATCGGCAGGGAGGACGAGGAGGATTCCAGGGCAAGGTAACAGAGTTAAACGAACGCGCGCAGGCGATGACGAACGGGGTCGAGAGAGTTGTGGGACGGAATAAATAACGCTTAGCGATTACGGTAATCGAGGTGAATCGAAGCGACGGAAGAGTAATCAGCCAGCTCCCCGCGTTTCGAGTTCTTCCTCGCGCTTCGTCTATTTAGCGGCGTCGCGACGTGGTCTGTGACACGCAACGGGATCGAAGAATCTCGCGACAGCTGTCTGGCGTGGCGACGCGACGCTGCAGAGAAAATCAAAAGGTGTCGTTTACAGAGGCAGAGGAGTCGGGAAACCGCGAGAGACGAAATAAATGCGACGAAAAAGCTGAACGAAGGAGTAGAAAGCGACGAAAAAGAGAGGAGAGTTCGTTTGGACGTTCTTCTCGTTATCCTAAGATACCGGGGACGAAACTTAAGATCGGGGCCACTGAATCTGCTTAGCTACCGAGGCAAACGCAACGACGGCCCCGCCTTCACCCTTCTGTTCCTCTCGCCTGCCGCTTTGCTTCTCTCGTCCTCTTCCTTCTCGGTCTCATGCAAATTCCGCCTGATGCCCTAGATGAACATCCGTTGCATCCGGTTAAAACGGTCTAGACCGTTTCAACGATCCTGTCCGCGCTTTTCCACGTCTACTCGCCTCCGATTTTCTTTCCCCGTGAATCGACCATGATTGACACGCTAGCACGGGCGCGCGTCCAAATACTTTCCTGCTCGATCCCGTCGTCGCGTGATTTACGCGTACAACCTATCCGATCGTCGTAGGATATCCCGCATCGGGCAGGAGTTTTCATCGATCTCGAGTTTCGTTTTTCTCCCTGGCATCTGCAACGACACCTTCGACACCCGATGACAACTTGCTTCGCGGACACGGAAAATTATTCGTTTCGCGAACGTCGACGAAAGCGGTGACAGAACGTCACCGCGAGACAAGCTCGAAACAGCCGACCTACTTTTTCCAACTGTCGCAATGGCCAGTGATCGCCATAAAATCGTACATCCAATTTCCGAGCAACTGGAACGCGGCAAACTCTCCGGACAGCTAACGAGATGTCCCTTTTCGTGCTAAACACTGTCCAAACTTTCCGCGGTTCTATCGTCGCGAACGAATTTGGAAACGGTACCGAATCTTTGAACCTGGATTCTCCGGGTGCCGAGAGAATCGGACGAAAACGATCTTCGAAACGGAATCGAGAAAATTACCGTGACTCGTGGCTACGAAGGTAACGATGCGACGCTTTGTTGTCTCGATCGAAGTTGGAAACGAAGGAAGAGAGAAGGAATTCCTGTCACGATAAACTTAATTTTATTAAACGCGACGCAGGGTGGAAAATCGGTGGCTACGCGAGGAAAATCGAAAGAATCCGTGAAATATATCGCGTTGAACGTATCGCGTTCTCGAGACTTCCGGTCTTATGTTTATATACAAAAATACTGCGTACCTCTCGATAGAACGCGAACTTGCTTCGAGTCGACTCTTGTTATCAAGACAGCTTGGATGAGCACTCGACCACGCACTACTCGCGACTGTTTTGCTTCGAGGTTCCACTGCCAGTATCGAAACGCGCGTGTGTCTCTTCGCGTGCCTTTCGGACCGTGTCCTCAACCGTCTTCGCCGCCAGCTAAATATTTTCGCCTTTACGCTGGCTTCGAGTTATACAGCTGTCGAGACGCTCCGAGACGATTCTTTCTCCGCGCCAAATCCTTGCAGCAAGAAAACACGTAAGTACGCGTAACAAATTTGCCGCGAGGAAAACATGTCGCTCGAGCAGACAGACGACGCGAAGTAAACAACTTTCGATGAACTTGGCATCTTTCCGCGGCGGCCATTGCTCCGTTGAAAATTCGAGTCTGATCGATGCGAAAATAGTGGAAACCGGTTGCGAGGCAGACAAACGCTTGGCTCCATTCTTACAATTAGGGCAAAGTAACGCGGAACCTTCAACGGATCTCATGAATATTCATCGAAAACGGTGTACTCTGCAATGTTTTAATAAACCACTTGTCGCCATATTGAATTCGATTAAATGCGATTTAATCGTTGACAATGGGGTAGGATGTATACCAATTTGCGTCGCGTGTCGGAGAATTTTCGTCTCGCGGAAAGCGGTAATGGATTCGAAGGATATCGCCGACGCGGGGAAACTGGATGAAACTGATGTACGCTCTTGTACGATCGAATTTCGAGGATCGATCGAAGAGTCGCGCGAACGCCGTCTCGTAATAAAAATAAAAATAGAAATATCCGTAGCGAAATTTTCGAGATTGCAATTCCAAGGCGGAATATTCGGTGGTATCGGATCGAACGGTCGTACGCGATGCGTGGAAACGCGTGTAAATCGCGAGATCTCCACTGAAAAGATCGACATGGACGATGAATTCGGTTAATCGCGTCGCGTTTGGCTGCCATTGTTCGAGATTTTCATCTTACGCGGGCAAACTGTCCTCGATCGATCGGTCGTAAACGACATGGTAATGTGCATCGTGGTAAAGTTAACCGAAATAATTTAAGGTACCGGAAGTTATCCAGAGGTGTTTCGGAGTTATCTAAGTTAAGCTAAGCTAGAAGAAGCTGTCTGGCTACCGTAACTCACCGCTAAGCCAGCCTGAACCATCATGGACTACCTGAAGTCGAGAAACGGACTACCCCGGGTTCTCGTCCGGTAATGCTCCAGAGAACAGCGTCCGAGGACCCCAATCCTCGCCTTTTTCCTCTGATCTTTACGGATAGACGAGACTCCGAAAACTTGGATAGCCTTTTAATCGCTTTTCTCCGGAACGATTAATTTTAGCGTTAAAATAGTTGGGAAGTTCGGTCTCCCGAGGAATGCTAATTACTTGACCTTCCAAACTCGAATCGACTTTTTGACAGTTTCGCGGTGACAATTAATGCGCCAACAATTGGACGGAATAGTTATTCGTTGCGGTATATGTTATTTAATTATTTACTTAATTACTTCGTATCCGAGAGGTGCGAGCGTCATAGTTTCAAGTTTATAATAAGATATATGCCAAGGCTGAGTTTATTGTGCGCGCTTAAGGCCATGGTGTCCAAACGTAGCCATCTTAGCGCGATGAAACCTGGTAATTGGCATCGTTTTCCAAAGATTTCTCTTTCGATCGTATTTCAGCTTTTACGTCGATAATTTTATCGATCTTATGAAACTTCGTGGACGCAATTGTGCAAGAAGAGAAGGGTCCAGCGAAAAGCCACTGCGACTTTCAACGTTTCTAAAACTACATCACGAAGAATGGTGACTAGATGTTAAAGGTTAGTTCGGGATCTTTATAAATTGTGTTTCCGCTTTAAAAGGAGGAGGAGCTAGTAACTTATCCAAGGAAATGTGCAGGAAAGAAGACGGGCACAAAGACATCGTGTATTTGTGGAACGAGTTTAAATAGATGCGTCTCATCTTGCTCCGTACACGACACGAGACACGTATTGTCGCTAAGTTTAAAATTATCTTTTCGTATATTCGATATTTGATACCTTTCCCGTTGTCATTTCTATATTTTTGCCGATTATACGAAATATTAGAAGAAACGTTATTCGCGCAAATAACTTTGCAAATTCGGGTAGAGGCTCAATCGTGGTAACTATTTCGGAAAGAACCTTCGTGTAGCAGTTATTAACGGTTATTTCTGGAATCGTCTGAATCGTTGGGAAAAATCGGTGGTTCGAGCGTAGAAGGGATTTCAGGTGAGAAAGTTTATCGGTGGAAGCAGGGACTTTTCGTCGGAATCGTGTGTGCGCGTGCTCGATTTTCCGGAAGGACCTAATGGGATTTCAGGTGGGAAAAGATCGCGGGATAATCGGGAAGTACAGTTCGAGGGGCTTAGCAACGCTTCGTTTCTCTCGGATTAGAAGACTTCCGGGATTCTAGTTAATGCAAGTATCTCGAATTTCGTCGAGCTGTGTCAACCAAACTTTTACCAAGGTTTTTCGCTTTTCGTTAACACGCAGGTCGATCCGAGTTGCTCGAACTGTCATGTTTACCCAGACCACGTACGTCCTAAGGACGCTAAACAGCTTGGCTTTGACTTTTATTCCGTCATGCTCCATAACCTCGATATCATCGTCCCTCGCTATATCGCCTAAACAGCCGATATCGAAATGGAGAATTACGCGATTACGCGTAACCGACGTTCCTCGCGAGTCGGTCTAATTCGCATAAAACCCGACCCTGTTTCCGATCTCGATTCTCTTCCACTGAAACACTCTCGAGGCTAGTTGCATGCGCGAACAATTCTTTCTCTGTCGCGGACACGCAACCCTTAATTCGATCTATCGTTTCGAAATACAGGTGTTCGCGTAAAATGGGAAAGGAACCAATTTAGCTATCCTCTTCAAAACCGAGCCGTGGAAAACGAACCTCGAACGCGATTAACGGCAATACGAGTCTGAAAAAGGAGTTGTCGATATTCCGCGAAACGATAGGCGATCCGTGATTTTTCTTATTCGAAATGTCGGTGTTTTATCGACTGCTCGTCTATGATAACACCGACGACAACACCCGCGATCTCCTCGAGAGACAGAGGACGAGGGAGAAAGAACAAAACACGAGACGATTTGCTTAGGAGCAAGGTAAATCGTTGCGAAGCGAACATTCGGGATGGATAAGGATGATTCGTCAAAGCTACGGCACGTATCTTTGTACACGCAAATATGCCGTGTGGTTATGTATACGAGACTGTTTTACATATGTATACGTGACGTTGGACCGTAGCTTTCGTCATTTCCAAGCACGTCTCAAATTACATTTCCTTACACACAAATTCTTCCGCCCCAATACCCTAGGATTCGCAATATTTCCACGCTCAAAGGCACGTCCTTTTAGTTCGACCTCATCCTGATCCTCGGTCTCACCCACCGCGTGTTCTACATCGTGCATATCGATAGACTTCCCAGCCCGTGCGACCAACCACCATCCCTCTTCTTCCTCTCCTTCATCCTTCTCACCTGCCAGCCATCCTGGAATGCTCTCTCTCTCTCTCTCTCTCTCTCTCCCTTCCTCCCCTCCCCCTCTTTGTCCTTTAACCGATTCGTACCGTTTAATCACGTCTCGTCGACGCATCGCTTTGGATCTCTTCTTCTCCTCTGCCTCTCGATTCGTGATCCATGCTTTTTACGCGAATCTTAAATAGAAGAATCGTCTACTCGCCAAGCGTACGATTCACGGCCGAATTATCCATCGCTGAATGCCTTTGATCAACCGCGTCTTCCATGTGTACACAGCAGGGGATGATTGCATGGATTACGAGGACAGCTTGATTTTGCGGATCGACGCGTGTTTTCACCCGCGTCTCGTGACAAGTGGTTACCGGCTCGATCCCGATATCGATCATAATCGTACGACTTTGTCAAAGTCGTATCAGACCACGAAACCTCTTACTTTTCCTCGCCATGGACGTGGAGTGAACGTTGCGGCAGGTTGTCGCGTCGTACGCGAGGAAAGAACGATTCGAGGGGTAGCTTCGCGTTGATTGCCAATCGATATCCGACGCGGTGTCATTTTTTTTCCGCGGATAAATCAGTTGACGAAGCTTAGCGGGTGATTTAGTCGCCTTAACGGGAAGATGGATTAAAGCTAACTTCTCGATGACACCGGGATCGATCGAGTAGCCGCCATTGAGCTCCGAAAAGCAGAGGAATGGTCAAAGGGAGAGGAGAAAAGGAAAGTGGCTGGTGAAAGAAAGTTGCGAGAAAAGGGGAAGTATAATATGAAAAATGGATTCGAGCAAAGAGAAAATGATAAATAGCGAAACGGGTGGAAAAAGGGGGAGAAAAAGCAAAGGTAATCGCTCGTTAACTGCGATTCTTTACACGAACCTGCAAGGTAGGGAAGCGTTTATAAAATAAACGGAAGTCGAACGAAGACGCAGACGATAGTATAACTAAGGGAAAAACCGAGGGAAGCGACGGAGCAGAAATTTTTTCGAAACGGAACAGCAGTGGGATACGGATGAAATCGAGCCTTTGCCTCTTTTTGGCTCGGATATGGCAAATAAAGCGGAAATTTCGTGGAACTTTTCGCATCCGGAAGCCGCGCGGAAAATCCCTTCCTGTAGATATCGACGCGGATATAGATGTCGCGTCTGATTGCTGCTTCTCTTTTGCCGATTTACTTGATTTCCGACTGTCGCTACTCTCCGAGACTACTAATTTTCGGGAACAAGCGCGAGATAATTTCGCGCGATGCGCAGCGGCAAGTAGAAACGTTTTTCGTCGCGATATTGGCCCCGAATCCGACCGAATTCGACGATCGAACTTTGGAAAATTTCGTTTACCGTGCGAATTTTCCAAGTGTCGCGAATCGGAAGAATTCGAGGTCGGCACGCGTTCACAGACGCACGTAATTGATTCGTCGCGAATGCTCGTTTGCTTGACTTTGCGTAAACACGACGCAAATTAATGATCCGTCAACGTCTAAGAGTTAAAGGGCAAACTTAGTTCGGTGAGTCTTTGTATGATAAAGTAATCGGCTCTATGGTAATTATCGGTACGCGTGTATCTCGCGAATACGAACGTACGTCGCTTTCCTACTTATTTCGGGCATTAAAAGGCACGAGGAAACCTATGAATCGGAAAGTATCCCGCGGTGGCTTATGAATTCTTTCGGACATGGTCGAAAGAACAAAGTGGCAGAAGGGAGGAAAATTCCGAAATCGAATTGGCCTGTAATTTCCTCCTAATGTACCGACCTCGACAGACCGGAAACGAACGTGGACTCGGAGGATACTTGGCGGAAAGCACCGAATATTCGATTCTAGTCTTTTCGGGGAATTGGAGAGACAACGATGAAGGACTCGACAACGAAACGGGTGTCTTCCCATCTTACTCCCGCGTTAATACCGATTAAGACGCGAATGAGTTTTAGCCAGAAGCACAGCGACGAAAACGGTACCCAACTGATAAGCTAGCGGTAAGTGCACGAATCGCGGAATGAAAGTTTAGCCGTGAATTTAGTTTACGAGTTATTCGAGGATTACCCGTGTTGCTGTTATTTTGGCCCAGTGTCAAAATGGTAAAGCCCGCGTTCCATTTGGCAAAGCTCTCGTATCCTTTATCCTAACGAATAAACGTCCCGAACTACGCACGTTGTATTAATTTCGTCGATTTTCGAAATACGTTTCTCTTTATCTTTCCTTACGGGAAAACGCAGGCAGGCAGTAGTGGACGTAATCCGGGATATGCCCGATGTCAAATCGGATGATAACGATAATGTTCGGTATCCGCGAATTCTTCGCCCGTTTCCACACGCTGAATGGCGTAGGAGCAACGAATGTGCCATTTTCTATCGCGACATTGATTTAAATAAAATGCTCCTGTAATTTAACTTCCTTTCCGTTTCTAATCGAATCTCGCCGTTCCGGGATTAACGCGATCGTATTTTTCTTTCCAATATTACGTAAACATGGAATAACTTTATCCCGAGGTATTACATCTGGCGAAACTCACGACCGACGTCGTGGATCGCGTTTCCTTTGCGAATTATGATACATTTCTGGGAACGTTGGCGAAAATGGCGCGCCGCCTTTGCCGCGCGATGCGCCACGACTTACCTCTCATATAGATATAAGCGGTTCCCCGCATGTTGCGTCTGGTAAGGACTAC